AAAACTGTGAATCATATCTAAGTAACGGCAAGGGTAATTTAGTCTTTTCAACAAAATACACAAGCCTTCCATTCCACTACAAACAGTTCCTTGAGGACAAACAAATTGGTCTGGAACTCGAAGCGATTGCTTTAAAAGAGGCAGGTCATGTTTTTCAAACCTGAATTCCGCTTTGCATTCATGGGGATCCAAATTTTCAAAATCGAACCCATCGTAGGTCCAGTAAGGAAATTCTGGATTTTGAGGTTTATACTGTGCAAATAAAACAACAAATTCCTCTTCGCTTATAATTTCATCAGCCAGAGCAATTATCAAGGCATCGCACACTTCTTGGAATGATGGCATTTTGTTTAAAAGATTTTTTTACTTTGTATACAAGGAGAACAGAACTTAACCGTAGCTGTATTCGTGTTGTTCTATCTTAAAGTTCCCGCGCGCGGTAGATGGTGACAGTACTCGACCCAGTCCATGCGCCGATTTTTAACCGTAGTCTGTAGTCCGTAGTCGGTTATCTTAAAGTCGCTATTATGGCTGTTTGCTGTTGTGGTCTTTAAGATCAGCGATATTTAATACCTTTTCTACGTCGCTAGAGAACAATCGGAAGGTTGCGCTTCCTTCGTGCTTTCTACCAGATTTCGGATGGCCAAAGAGCAAGTGATTGTACGCGTTAATTCTTGCTATAGTCAAACCAATGCGAATATACTGGAAAGTACATTTCGCACATTGATCTGAGCACACAGCGGTTTTTGTTCGAAATTGGCGCGTGTTTGCATTTATAACTCCCAACTACGGCATTGACAAATGTGTTAAGCCATTACGAATTATTAAATTATTACTAAATCGGATGTAGCTTATCAATACTATTTAAACCAAGAATAAAACGGACTATTAAATTACACTAGTATGATATAATTGGGTGAGTTAATTTAATTTGTATATGTCAACCCTCAAACGCCTGCCTTACAAACGCCATGGGAACGAACACATTTTGCCTTAATTTTTTCACACATCGTGCGGGTCCTCATGTATAAACAATTCAATATAAATGTATGATTGTTGTGTATGAGTATATTTTGCAAAATAATCTTTCAAAATAAGTAGTTTTCCCGACTGCATGATTTAATTTCGACGTGAGCTAGCCTGACAAAACAAGAAACGTCTACTATTGAGCTGTAGTTTTCCTTGTACAGCATTTATGATATGATGTAGTGCAGATGTCTGATGAAATACTACATCTAAGCTTATTACATTGTAGTAATACTTTAATTCACAATATTATATACTAACAAAATAAAAGCAAGACAACAAATTAAATGAAAGTACTAATTTAGGCCCTGTTTATATACTTTATACCCTAGCCCTAGCCCTAGGCCTAGGCAATGCATGTAGTCTGTACAAGATTCGCTTGCCACAACACCGAATTTTACAGTTTCAGAATACCATTGTGATGATACGACAAACTAAAACAAAGATTGTGAAGCCCTGCGAGCAGGGGGGGGCTGGGAGGCGTTAGCCCCCCCCCCCCAATAATTTTTCATACATATCTGATTTTAATATATAGCGCAGATAGCACTTTTCTTTGCGTAGTCCAGAAAAATATCAAATGTCTGATTTGCGTGTTTCAGACTTATAGAGGCCATTTCCAACCAGTGAAACATATAGCTTTTACAAACAATAGGTCTCAACCTTCATGACGCTGTGCAATAATGTCAAGAGTTGTTAGTCGCATTTGGCCACTTTATTTCAAATTCGGAGCCTAACATTATCCAAGGTGTCACACTCGGTTTCAAATAACAGTTGAAACTCCATATCTGCTTCAGACACAGTGAATACGCGTGTTTCGCTTCCGTTCCAAACAAAATGTTGGCGATAAAACTGCTAAGCGTCGTTCTAACTTACTGTTTGCTTGTGACTGATTATTCTTTGCCTTTGGAACCTAAATTATCTCCCAACAAAATTCTCACGAAAAAATGCAGGTTATATAATAACTACAGTGAAACACGCAATTTGGATTGTCAATAGCGCCGTGCAGGATGAGGCTATCCTGCACGAACAATTAAAATGCCTTCGCGGGATTTTCAAAATGTCATAGTTTCACTGCGGTGATTTTATAAAACAATTACCAAATGGTTTTCCAAGCAGGATAGCGTGATCCATGCACTTGGGATGTTGCTCGACATTCGGAAAGTGTAAAAATAGACTCGCCTGCGGTTCGAGTATTTTTACGCTTTCAGAAAGTCTCGCGACACCCCTCGTGCATAGATCACGCAATCCTGCACGGAAAACCATTCGGTATTCCTTTATTATTGAACACTTTCCGGAAGAAAAAAACAACTTTTCTAAGAAAGGTAGAGACGATAAGTATGGAAAATGCAAATTAATTATACTTAAATAAAGCGCTAAAGTTCGAAGAAAAAAATCTATTCAAGGAAAATGTACTAAGGGAATAAATTTTCCCCTTATCAATAATGGCTTGCTTAAGAATCGTTCAAGAAACCTTTTAAGAGAAACTTGCAGGTTTTATGGCATTTCTGGGGCTCTGAGAGGTCTCAGATTTCAAAATTTCCCGGGGGAGCATGCCTCCAGACCCACCCCAGAACGCTCACGCCTTCGGCGTTCGCTGCCCCCCCCAATAAAAAACTACCTCCGCGGTCCCTTCAAGGGGGTAAAATTTGTAGGCAAGCATTGCTCCTGAACGGCAAGTGTTGGTGTCGAATCCGTATATTTCGTGTCCAGCGTAAACAGGTTACGCGAGGTTTTATATTTGTGTTTATTTATATCGATCTAAGAATATTGCTGTAAAAGCATATTGTTGTATTTTTGTTTTATATGTTAATTTATGTATAAACTTAGCTATATAAGAGTTGCTGTGCTCACATTAGTGTGAGTCTAATAAATGTTATACATACGGATGTACAAACATAACATGGTGTCAGGTGTTGGATACTAAATAGAAATCGAAGAGTTTGGAGGAGTTTAATCCAGTATCCCATACCTTTGTTAAAAGCGGCTTTCTGATTGGTTTAGAGCAGGTGAGTTTGTCGTCGAACTCAACTGCTTTTTGCCGAACCCACCTGCTTTTCGCCCGAACTCACCCGCTAAACTGCTTACGTTGCAATAACGATAACAAATATGGCGGACAAGATTTAGCCGATAAACCTAAACTTTAAAGAACTTTTTCGGTGACTAACATACTGAGACTGAAGAAAAGCCAAAGAAAAAATGCAGTAAAGGTAATGTAGACGTAGATAAAGAAGTATTTTCTTGCCCAGTGATTTTTTTGGCCGAAAAATGTTCACTCAACATCGACGAATATATCGCGAAGAGCTACAAATGTGTGTATGACTCGGTGTATGGGATAAAAACCAAACGTACTTGCAGGTTCGGTGAGTCCGGGATTGGACGCACCTCGGGTGGCTGGAAGTTTACCGAATTCACCTCGCTTCGCTCGGTAAGTTCGGGAAATTTCCAGCCTCCCTCGGTGCGTCCAATCCCGGACTCAGCTCCCTGCAAGTATGTTTGTTATAAAAATGGATAAATTAAGACAACCTCCTGAGTTGGAATTCGTTTCGAGCGGTGGTGATTTGTCTGAGCGGTGGAAAAGATGGATACAAAAGTCAATTTATACATGGATCTTTGCATGAAAGACGTATCTGAGAAAGAGAGATGCAGAGCTTTCTTATATATCATTGGTCAAGATGGCAGAGATATCCACAGCACATTTGATTTTGAGACGAGCGAACTAGACAAAATAAAACCGTTAATACAAAAGTTTGAAGATTATTGCATACCGAAGCAGAATACAACAATGCAGCGATATAAATTTGATAAACGTGTGCAAGGCGAAACCGAATCAGTTGACCAATATGTTACAGAACTATGGCTTTTGGCGAAAAACTGTCGTTTTGGAGAACTACAAGAAGAGATAATTCGGAATCGAATCATCTGTGGCATAAAAGCGGATAGACTTCAAGCTCGAATGCTTCGAGAAGACAATTTAATTTTAGACAAACCATTAGCATACTGTATGTAAAGCAGACGAAGAATCTCGTTAACAACTTAAAGACCTAACGAAAGATGACAGTTTTAAAGTAAGTTCAGTGAAGAAAAGTTCAAGAAAAGGGAACAATGAAGGCAGACCAGCGAAGTTTGGGCGAGAAAAACAGAATATATCCTCGGGCGGCTCGAGCGAAGTAATAAAATGTAGCAAATGAGGGCGAGACCATCCAAGCAAGCAATGTCCAGCATATGGCAAAGTCTATCATGCATGCCGAAAACTAAATCACTTTGCGAAGTGTTGTCGCTCAAGGAAAGTACATGGAATTGATCAAATGCATACAGATCCGAATATTCTATTTGTTGGTACGGTTGATAAGAAACCTGAACAGTCGACTAAAACAGAATTGACGAAAGACGAGTGTTTTATAACTCTAGAGGTTAACGAAACACCGATAAAGTTTAAAGTTGACACAGGATCTCAAGCGAACATAATTCCCATGTCGATGTACCGAGAATTCAAAGGGCCTAAAGGACCAATTCAATCATCAAGGACCTCATTAACAAGCTACACTGGAGATAAGCTTAATCTTGTTGGCAAATGCACGTTGAAATGCATGCGGAACAGACGGCTGAATTTTTTCGTGAGCGAAACAGATCAGTATCCTATACTGGGTTTTCAAGCGTCACAAGAACTCGACATAATCAAAGTTGTGATGAGCACTAATAAAGAGGGAGATCTTAACGAGAAATACTCGTATGTATTCAAAGGCTTGGTGTGCCTGAGGGAGTCATATCACATTGAATTGGATCCGGAGGTATCACCTGTAATAAATGCAGCGAGAAAAGTTCCTGTAGCAATTAAAGGTCGTTTAAAGCTTGAGTTAGCAAATATGGAGAAGCAAGGAATTATTCGTAGAGTGGACAGACCGACTGACTGGGTCAACTCAATTGCAATAGTGGAGAAACCAGGTACGGGGAGATTACGAATATACCTAGATCGGAAGCATCTAAATGAAGCGATCAGAGGGGAGCATTTCCAATTACCAACGGTTGAAGAAATAGCGTCTCGGGTATCTGGTGGGAAAGTGTTCTCCAAACTAGATCCAAGACATGGTTATTGGCAGATAACATTGGATGAGCCAAGCAAACTTCTAACGACGTTCAGGACACCATTTGGCAGATATTGTTTCACGAGAATGCCTTTCCGCATTAAATCTGTGCAGGAAGTTTTCCAGAAGAGAATTTCGCAGCAAGTTGACGACCTCGACGGCGTAGCCACTGAGATTGATGACATACTTATTTGGGGATCTGATCAACAAGAGCATGACGCACGATTAGAAGCCACCTTACAACGATGTGAAAAAATAAACCTCACGTTAAATGTAGACAAGTGCAAGTTCAATGTGAATGAAGTATCGTATTGTGGTCACAACTTCACGAAAGACGGTGTGAAACCTGACGAGTCGAAGATTAAAGCAATTCAAGATATGCCAACACCTTCGTCGAAGAAGGAGATTTAAAGATTACTTGGAACTGTAAATTACTTAGCAAAATTTGTACCTAACCAAGCAATAATCACAGCGCCAATCAGAGAACTGCTGAAGAAAGATATCGAGTTCTATTGGTCGCACGAGCAGACAAAAGCTTTTGATGAGATTAAAGAAATTCTTACCCAGCCACCAGTTCTAAAGTTTTTTTATCCAACTAAACCGGTTATAGTGCGTTGTGATGCCTCGCAGAATGGACTTGGTGCAGTTCTGATCCAGGAAGAACAACCAATTGCCTATGCGTCTCGTTCTATGACTGAAGCAGAAACCATGCAGATACGCACAGATTGAGAAAGAACTACTCTCTGTTTTATTTGCTCTTGAAAGATTCAATGCGTACACCTATGGCGTGAAAGTCCTTGTAGAAAATGACCATAAGCCACTTGGGATCATTTTAAAGAAATCATTACATGATGCTCCTCTCAGATTGCAAAGGATGTTGTTAAGATTACAGAAAAATAACTTCACCTACAAGCATAAGCCGGGCAAGGATCTTGTGGTAGCGGACACTCTATCACGGGCACCACTTCCAACTACAGATTCAGAGTTAGAGAAAGAAATATCTTGCTATGTTCACATGGTGATGTCCAATCTTCCTGCAACAGATAACATGATGGCAAGACTCAGGATGGCCACAGAAGAAGTTGAATCACTACGGCAGCTGAAGAAGACCGCTATGAGCGGGTGCATGGCCAGATACGAAACGAGAAACACCAATCAAAATTAGGGAGTATTGGCATTGTAGAGAGGAAATTTCAGAGATTGATGGAATTATTTTGAAGAATGAAAAGATCATCATCCCAAGGTCCTTTCGACCATAAATGTTGGAAAAGATTCATGCTGGACACATGGGAACCGAAAAATGCAAGAAACGTGCACGGGCTGTTCTGTATTGGCCAGGGATGAATTAACAGATAGAAGAAATGGTTTTGAAATGTCCTACCTGTCTAGAATATTGACCATCAAACCAGAAAGAGCCCATGATTGTTCAACCAATTCCCACGATTCCATGGGATACTGTCGCCACTGATTTGTTCTACTGGAACAATTCAAACTATCTATTAGCTGCGGACTATTTTTCACGTTATTTTGAGATTGCAAAGTTGCCAGATATTAAGAGCAGACCTTGTTACTTACACGAAATCTATATTCGCCAGACACAGGATTCCAAGAGAAGTAAAGAGTGATAATGGTCCGCAGTACACATCACAAGAATTTGGAAAGTTTGCGCAAGAGTGGAATATTCAACACACGACGACCAGTCCATACCATCCACAAGCGAATGGTCTAGCTGAAAGATCGGTGCAGACTGTCAAAAACTTATTAAATAAAGCAAACAGAGATGGAAGAGATCCTTACGTTAGTATTTTAGAATATCGAAATACACCCATTGATCAGGTTGCTTCACCAGCGCAATTACTGATGAGCAGAAGATTAAGATCTGTTGTTCCCACAACGAAGTCTCTGTTGCAACCTAAAGTCATTGATGAAGATCTAGCGAGTTCGAAGTTAATAATTAAGAAAACGTTCAGAAACTGTATTATGACCGAGGCTCCAAAGAACTTCCTACAATATCACAACGCGAGCAAGTTGGCATATAAAGCAAGGGAAAATATGGAATCCAGCTGTGGTAACTAGTCAAACACACACACCAAGGTAATATCGTGCAAAGTCCAGATGGAAGCACTTACAGAAGAAACAGGAAACACATCCTCAAGACGAAAGAAGGAAATTCACAGTCATTTGGAAAAGAAGATTGTGATGATCCCATTAGTCAAAACAATGAAGAGAATGCAGTTGGTACAGAACCAGAAAATGATGGTGATAATGCAGTATCTACAGAAGAAACATCAGAGGAACAATTACCGGTAACACTTGAAAAAAAATATAGTGCATCTCCACTAAAGACTAGCTAGAAGTGGAAGAATAATTAGGAAATCAAATAGGTATAAGGACTATTAGTTATGAACATTAGATAATAGCTGTTTGACAATTAATTAAACTTTAAATCAATTAGATAATTTTAGAACAATAATGACTTTAAAAAAAACAAAAAAAAAACTTACACGTATATAGATTAGTATAGATACTTTTCTTATTTAAGAAGAGGGGTGTATTATTGTTTATATGTTAATTTATGTATAAACTTAGCTATATAAGAGTTGCTGTACTCACATTAGTGTTAGTTAATAAATGTTATACATACGGATGTACAAACATAACACATATTTAAACTAAATATTAAAGGCAATAGCCATATTGTTTAAGACGAGAGAAAGCAAATTTCGTGAGAATCACCCCTTGAAGACGCCTAGATGCAGTTTGGTAATCATGTTGAGATACAGTTGTTCGTTTGGCTTTGTCTGACTGTAGTTGGAAAATCTCCAGAAATATCGGTATATTTTAGAAAACATCGACGGTGCCTTCAGAGATTTCGGCTGATTCGTGCCAAACTTCGCTACACATAAATAATATCGATTGAGAAGTGTTTTGGCTGTTTATTTGTTTCGAATACTTGTATGTTTCAGTTAAGAATAGCTCGCCACTCCTTGACGAGTAGCTGTCAAATATATCCTTAATTATTTATAAGTCACGTGACCGGCCCAGATCATGGCTTTCTCGTCTCGCCTCTCGTACTCACACGAAAGCCCTGGGAACGAGGTTGCCATCGGGGCTGATCGAGTCCAAAGTCTCGGAAAATATTAGTCCAACAAAGAGGAATAAAGGAGAACACACACTATCGAATAGACAAGTCAATTTCATTTTAAAATTTATATTTTATTACATATTTTTGCTATAATATAAATTGCTATAATATACAGGTCTATACAGTCGCTTGCGAGATTGGACCGCTGTGATCTATAGTATATGTTTGGAATGCAAGTTCAATCACCGTATCAGGGGGAGGAGAGGGGGGCTATGAAAATTTATTATATTTAAAGGAGGGGCATGAATAAATATTTTGAAAGAATGAGTGGCCATGAAATTACCATGAGTTTAAAAATATCTTCCGCCTCTCCCTCCCC